TTGTGTGTGTGTGTGTGTGCGCGTGTGTGTATATTTGTTTGTGTGTGTTTGCGCGTTCGGTTTGCCCCACTGGAAGGAGTTCGTTGATTGCACGTATGAAACTGACGGGATTCAGGGAATCCAACAAGTTTGAGAATCACTGTGCATGTATTAGATTATATAATTGTATTGTTCTTCTTTTGTCGCAGACAAACATCAGATGAAAATCTGGAAGCGTAAATTAAAGAATTAATTTGTTCTCACTTTCTGTAAAGCATGGGAAATTGAAATGGCTTTATATAAAGTTTTATTTCACATCAGAACAATAATCCACATATCAAAGGCCTGTATCTTTGTTTCTCCTTTTGTGTTCTGTAAAGTAAAAGAAATTTAAATGGCTTGTATGTCGAGTTTTATTTCACATCTGAACGATAATAGTCCACAAATTAAAAGCCTTTTCCTTTTGTTTTTCTTTTTGTTCTAGGACCTGCTGTTGCTTCTACTGTTCGTATGCGTGGGCATGCTAATCTTCTCGTCCTTGATTTACTTCGCGGAGTTCGAGACCCAAGAAGACTTCTCCTCGATCCCAAAATGCTTCTGGTGGGCTGTCATCACCATGACAACCGTAGGCTATGGCGATATGTATCCAGTCACGAACTGGGGCTACCTTATTGGCACCGCAACAGGCATTTCTGGTGTACTCATGATTGGTTTTACAGTTCCAGTGTTGGTCAATAACTTTGTCATGTATTATCAGCACACACAGAGCGCTAAGTATCGCGCGCAAAGGCGAGAAAGTCACGGGAGCGGATCTGGAAGTCGCTTGAATCTCAAAAACATGGCTGGTGGAATGGGTGGGTTTTCCGGAGGTTTTGGGGAGAGGCTGATGGGGATAGGTAGCTTCAACATGCGCAAAGAGTCGGACGACGACGTGGATTCAAATGCCAATGAGAAAAGAGGCACAGGAAGTAAAACCTTGAATGGCATAGGTGTTTACGGTGAAGACGATGTAAATGAAGAAACAAATGAGCAAGCTACAGATGATAACGACGATGACGAAGCTGTGCGAGAAACATCCCTTCTCTGATGTCGAAGCTTTATGAAGAATTGCTTTTATCTTGCCTACTTGTCGTAAATTCTAACTCAATTCGGAGTTTTTTAAAATATTTTAAAAGAGGCTGATGATATCTAAATCCAGTACTTTTACAAATTGAGTAGAACGGACACGGAGAAAGAGAGAGAAGGTGGGGATGAAAAAGAAAAGAGCGGAGTGGACAAACAGATCACTGACGGAAAGAAAAACACGTCTATACAGGGGGTAATTATTATCTGAGTGAGCACGTGTAGTTCGAAATGGTAAAGCATGGGTTGTAAGCTCATGTTAACACATCTTAGAATCATAAAAGAAGAAAGGACGTTGTTGTCTTAGATAAAATTGAGATTGTGCAGGGAAAATCTCAACAAACAGGATACGTTCCGAAAATTTCCCGAACCGAATTAGAACCGCGGTCGCGCGCTTCGCAGTTCAGCTTGTTTCCAACCTCAGTAATGGTGCGACCAGTCGCTACCTTAGTTTTATAAAGTTCTATCTGTTCTGTACCCAGTTTTGATAAATTTGACGTCAACAATTTTGAGTTCCACAGCATGTCAAGCATTTTCAAATGCAGTTCTTTGAATATCTTGATAACGACTCCGAATAATCTTAAGACTTTGACGGAGCAGATGGAACATTATTTGGTTTCTGACCTCATGGTTTTTGTACGGTAACTCAAAACAGCTAAAAATGTCAGATAGAACTTTGTAATTCTGAGGTACCGCAGGCGTGAGTGACAGACGCTGCACGTGGGTTGTGGAATAGCCATACCCACATGGCAGGTGAGACCTACTTTATACTGGAGTCTGCGGGGTAGCAGTTAGGTGTTTCGTCGTAGCACGCAGAAGACCAGAGTTTGATTCCCATGTGGGTTTTTTTTTTCCTTTTTTTCAAAATCGAGTATCCCCGTCTGTCAGCTGGGACGTTGAAGCCACCACAGCCTGGGTTGGCCTGGGCACAGGGTCTAAACAGCCCGCCTCCTTAATGATCTAAACTGTGTCGACAGAGGTGTATATTTCTGAGGCTTTGGAACTATAGGGTCATTAAATATATACGTTTGGCAAGTGATTAACGCAATGCCTTATCATACTTATGTGCTTTGGCTAATAATGTCTCTTATACTTATACGATCCTGAAAGCACCACATAATGATATGAAAGTTCAGTTCGTGTTACCGGTACTCATCATAGGGTTTCTGAAAGTACTATTGGATAACAAAGGACAATCATTCCTGTATAGGTCTAAGAAAACAGGACTTCTTACAAATATCCTAATCTTTCTGCTCAAACGCGATGTAACGCCAGAACGACTTATCAGATATTTCTGATTATTGAATGAACGCCACCCCCACCCAACGTTTTCTGCCCGTTAAATCACGTTCCATTGAATATTTTCCTATAAAAATAATTTATGTTCGTTCGTTTGATACGGAAAGGAACTAATCCACCTGTTGTTTTTTTCTTCCGAAAGAGAATTAAGTATATATATCTGAAAAAAAAAATGTTTAGGACCTCCATCACTTTAATGCAATGTCTGCAAATGCGGACAAGCATATAATTTTACCTCTTTTGGTCAACTCAGATTCCTGGTTATCCATTTTTAAGTTTTTATGTCACTCGGAGCTGTGTTCATAATGTCTTTTATGTTGTCTGAATTCGGAGATTCGGAGGCTGCAGAAGGCGCCACTGAATTATGTATGCTCTGCTTCAATCGTCCCTAAATAGACGAGTATCTAAGAAATGTTAACACCAATTTCAGTCCCGCGACACTTCAAAGAAGTAAGGAACACATTGTTGAGAGACTTCTACTTGAGTCGAGGGTGATCTGTTTAATTTCAGTTGCCGGTTTTGGGGAGTGATGAAGTGTGACTCACAATTTGCTAACCAAAGGGGAACATTTCTCATTAATAGCTATCAGAGGGTTGGATGGGTAAGTGTGTGTTTGCAGAAGGGGAGGTAGAGAGTGAGGTGATAGAGAGAGAGGGGGTGGGCAGACAGACAGATAAACAGACAATGAGGGTGAGAGATAAAGGGAGACAGATACAGAGACAAAGAGATAGAGAGGGAGAGAGAGAGGGGGGGAGCAAGGAAGAAATAGAGAGAAAGAGGGGAGAGAGAGAGGGGGAGAGAGAGAGAGGGGAGAGAGAGAGAGAGAGAGAGAGAGAGAGAGAGAGAGAGAGAGAGAGAGAGAGAGAGAGAGTGGAGGGGGGGGGGAGAAAGGAAGAAAGAGAGAGAAAGAGGGGGCAGAGAGATAGGGGGGGGGGAGAGAGAGAGAGAGAGAGAGAGAGAGAGAGAGAGAGAGAGAGAGAGAGAGAGACAGACAGACAGACAGACAGACAGACAGACAGACAGACAGACAGACAGACAGACAGACAGACAGACAGACAGACAGGCAGACAGACAGACATACAGACAGACAGAGACAACGAAAGAGAAAAAGTGAGAAAGATGGCGTGAAGAGATCCAGAATAATGTCACAAAGTGCCCTATCCTTTTTTGCATGCTCAAGTTGTTATAACGTATTCTACATAACGTGCAGTCACTCATTCCTTCCTCACCTACTCGCCTCCTAAAGCAAAGGATGAATAATTTCCTTTTTACAATGTTTATGCAATTCACAACGGATCGTTTCCATATTCAAAGCTACACACTAAGCTTTTGCTTAGTAACGTAACGGGACCAGACATCTATTAATTCCCATTTTCTCTTCTAAATTCACCGTTTGTTTGTTGTTGTTGTTGTTGTTGTTGTTGTTTTTTGTTCTTATTTGTTTGTTTGTTGTCTTTTTGTGTGTCTTCTTGTGTGGCCAAAATGCATTTAAAATGAACTCTGTTGCGGTGGTTTTAGGGTGTAATGAAGATGTTTCTTTATTCCTAGTAAACAAGGACATTTTTATGGAGGATTTTATGTCTCCTCGACATGGTCTTCACAAAGTCCACTCTATACATATTTCATGCATTTTCTTTGAACATTTTTGTAAATACGAGACGTCTATTACTGTACATACCGTGACAGAAATGATTTTGTATAACGCTGCTGTTAACATTCATTTATAATAATTATAGTGCCTTTGTTCATGTGGACTGGCTGTACCATAGTTCTGACCTGTCAGCGTTAACATATCATTTCTTTCTTTTTTTTCATTTTGTATGACTAGATTTTTATCTGTTCTATCAAAATCGTATATATTTGTCAGAAGTCGTTATCAAGATATTCAAAGAATTGCATGCTAAAAAAGCTTGACATTATGTGAAACTCAATTTTTAACGTCAAATTTCTCAAAGCTATATGTGCTGAGCAGATGGAATGTTGTAATTCTAAGGTAACGTAATGTCAACATTGTATCCCGCAACATTAGCAAAGTGAAACCTTACATAATCAAGCGGTTTTGGCACAAGCGCAGAGAATAAATACATTGTACGACAGGCCTACAATGCTCCTCTGCTTTAAGAGGGACTCAGCTAAAGTTTTTGTGGCAGCTTTTTCAAATGTTTCAAGTTGGTCTGGACGTAACAAGCGTTCTTTTGTTCTCGGTTGTGCACATTGTTGGCCTATGGTAGATCTATCCTATTCCAGTATACTGTACATATTTGTGTACCGTACGGTACCGGTACTGCCTTCATGAAATTTAGCACTGCTTTTTTACTTGCATGGATCTACCTAGTAGGCCTCTTTTTCGGAGCTGTAGCTTTGAAAGCAAATGTAAGTTTATCGCTGCAGCTACTGTTGTCATTGTTGTTGTTGTTGTTGTTAGTTTGGGGGGGGGGGCATAGTTACGTCATAGCTGAAATACTCAAAAGTAAGATTTCACGAATGAAAGTGTGAGCGTACCGTACGGCATCACTTTTTGGAGCTTCCAGTAAGTTCGATTATATCGTCTACTCCAACATGTTTGTTTTTTTATCATTTATTTCCAGACCTCACTCAGCGTGCTTTGTTACCTCGACTTAATTCTTATCTTAAACACAGCTTGTTCGTCAACCGTTTAGCCCTCGAGCTTTGAAATCAAAATGTAAATACGGTACCAGATGGTCTGAGTCTGAGTTTGCGTTTGCTCTTCTCGATGTCACTGTTGAATTTCAAGCATCCGTAATCGGATGGCTTAGCAAATGTTACACGTACATACCGCACATGCCTTTTTAGCAAAACCCTTTTTTTAACGTGATCAAATTTCTTTGCTGTGTCAAAACTACCTTGCATTGTACTTAAACCTATTTTACTTAGCCCCGAACACATTGTTCTGAAGCTATTATATTAGAGGGTCTAAATATGCAATAATGGAAATAAATCTATTATATTAATTTTAATACGGTGCCTGAACTGAAATAGCGTTGGATAGGGGCATTAAACCTATACTCGTACTTTTACCAGACTTTATTTGGGTTATTAAAGTTTCAGTTAAAGTTTTACGGCACTTGCAACACAATAAGGTCATACAAGTGTCGAAGATTAGAGGTGTTACAAGAGACTGAGAGTAACAAACGCAAAAAAAAAAGGAGGGGAAATAAAGACAATAGATGTTTGATAGGAAAGAAGCAGCAAACCACATCAGAGCACCCGCCAACCACACCAGAGCACCAACACTCACTTACAAGACATTGGTTTGTGTATCTGTTCTGTTAACATTCAATTAGTGCCTTCGTAAAATGGGGCACCCGTTCTACATAAATCTGGCTCGTCATCGTTAAAGGACTCTTCTTACACAAGCAAGGACGTCTATTTATGTACCGGTATAATGTTTCTCTGCATACCGGTGCGAGCCCAACTAGAGATTTCTTTTTTTTATATTGGCCAACATTGACGAAGACGTCCATTTTATGTGTGCATTCGAGTTGTGTTTGTTATAGACTGGGCCCCCAGGCTCAAAGTCATTTAAAAGCCTTTGTTATATTTGTGGAGCTACTCCTGACTTTGAAGAAATTGATATTTCACTTGCATGTAAACATACTTCGCTAGATTACAATATTGTTATTATTGTTTCTCTTTATTAATGTATTCCATATCAGAATCATTTCCGACAAATTTACACTAATATTATAATACATGTGTTCAATGAAAGAGCATCTTTGTGGATGGAGAAACTGAGTGACAGGGGTATGAATGATATGTCCATATTATGTTCAAAAGTAAATTTGATCGAGTTTTCTTCGATGGGACCATAAAACCAAAGTTTAAGACGCACATTGTACCGTGATGTATGTATCATAGTAATATCATAATTACGAATCGCGTTTTATGACCTCTGATCATATTCAACTTCAGCATTCCTGTTTTTTCTTTACAAGGTTTGTGTTCTGTGTATATGTGTACATTGCGTGACTATGTATTATGTAGATGAGTAGATGATTTGCTTGTAAAATCAAAAGGCCAGATTTTTGTGAGAGAACATTTCAGATGCAGAAAATCGAGAGCCCCATTTATCTCTGCTGAACGTTTGAGGTTCTTGATTATACATTGTAGAGCTCCCCATTTCACTTTATACCCCCCCCCCTCCTTTTTTACTTCTCTCACTCCCCCCTTTACCAATTTTTAATAATAAAAAAAT